TAGCCCCAGCTGGCCTGGAACTTACGGAGATCCGCCTGCCTGTGCCTCCCAAATGCTGGGATTAAAGGCATGCATCACCACATCCCTCTTTATTCTATAGTATTTTAACATGACCTAAATTACTGGATTGTCTCGAACAACTGGGTGGTATGGAGATTGGGCCTAAGTGTCCAGAGTTCTATCCTGTAGATCAGCTCTGGTTCTCCAGTTATCCAGAGTCTTTACCAATCCATTATTCATGTACAGCTTGCTTTACCTATCGTCATGGCCTTTCTAGGCAGCTGAGTTTGAAATCCCCAAAAGAGATCACAGAGACTTTGAGAGAGATGTGGCATTCCAGGGAGAGGGAAGGGGCTCACCCCAGCTTCATACAGTGGGTTGCTGAAGTCTGACTCCACAGTGATGGGACTGTAGGAGTGAGAACCAGAGAAGCCAAAGAGGGATTTTCCTTGTAGCCTAAAAAGAGAGATGACAGGCTGATCAGCAGGTGAGCCCCTGAGCTCCCTTTACCCAGGCTCCAGCACCTGCACTGGCAGGCAGTCCCTGAATAGGGTACTTACTTGGTATAATATATATAAACACCACTGCCAAGGATGATGACCAAGCCTAGGGGCAGCAGGATGGCCAAGGCGAGGTTCCCACCTTCCAGCTGCCGTGATGGGTCTGTGGTCTGGGTCACTGGGAAGGGAGGGGGAACAACAAATGAGCCAAGGTTGGACCCAACCCTGGGTTCTCCCAGCCTCCTGCCCTGAGCCCTGAACCCTGGGCCTCACCCCTCTGGGGCCTGGCCGCCTACCCCCGGCCTCTGCCTTGCCCTCCCGACCTGGCCAAGCCTGGTCTCCACCTGCACCCTCACTGACCTTCCAGTTTTCGGTTGTCCAGGAGCTCCTCATAGGCCACTGCAGGGAGAGGAGGGGGAGGGGGACGGGGTCTGAGCCAGGGAGGGAAGGAGAAGGGAAAGGGCCAGAGCCTGGTGGGGCTGGGCTGCTCAGCCTAGTTCTCTGCCCTCTGCTCAGTATAAACTTTCTTTCTCTGGGTGGGGGGATTGAGGACTGATGAGCAGAGGCCTTTCCTCCAGGTCAATCAATTCAAGGTTCCTGGACAGTCGGTGCCAACCAGCACTTTAGAATTTCTCGCTGCTAGAGACACTGAGGCCTGTGCTTAGAGGGCAAGAGTCTTGCAAACCAAGGCCCTCTAATACATCCCTTGAGATATTTCTAGAACCTCAACTCTCTCCAGGACTTCACAGTCATGCCCGTGAGGATGAGAGCCCACAGGATGGAATACACAGCAGGGTTGCGCATTGGTCTTGAATTTTCTACCCCACACTTCCAGCCCTGTCACTCCCCAGGTACCGATGTGCCCCTTCTGCCCTGTCGACCCAGGCACCTTTGCAGAGTGGGGGCTGGCTGGTCCACTGGGAGGGGTGACCAGGCACACAGGTGATGGTGACCTCGCCAATGAGCTCAAAGCCCTCATAGCAGAAGAAGCGCAGAGACTCGCCCGCTTGGTAATGGTGCTTGTACAGTGTCTGGTAACCATTCTCAGGAACACCCGGGTTCAGGCATGGCTCGTACTTTACTGCAGGGAGCACACCAGTTACATGCCCGCTTGGCTACTGAGAAGGCCCAGCCAGAGGCTACCAGGCTCTCTCAAGGATCCCCCAGCTTCCCTTTCTGGGTATCCCCCAGACTCACAAGCACATTTGGGGACCCGATCACTCCACTTGGGTGTGCCTGTGTCCCGGCTGTAGCAGGTGAGCACTGCTGCCCCCTCAAGGCTGTACCCTGGCAGACAGCGATACTGGACATGGGAGCCCACGGGAAAGCCGGCATCTGAGGCCGTTCGGTGGCCATTGGTGATTTCACCTGGGTCAGCACAAGTCATGACTGGGGGTAGAAAAGTACAATCAGGAAGTCAGAGCCTTAGAAGATCTGGAAACAGAGGCCAACCAAGGCCAGAGCTTTGGGCCAGCTCAGAGCAACCCCTTCCTCCTCCCACCATTTCCTTGAAAGGAAGAGGGCACAAATTGGAAAAACATCAAATTTAATGTGTTTGCCAAGTGTGGTGGTACAACTAATTCTACCATTTGGGAGGCTAAGGAGGGAAGAATGTGAGTTTCATACCAGCCTGGGCTACATAGCAAGTTCCAGGAAAGGACATACTGGGCTACATAATGAGACCCTGTCTCAATAAAAAAATAATAAATTTTAAAAATTCAGTTTATTTCAGGCTTCTTTTTAAAAACAAGTTGAGTGGGGCAATCCCACGTCCCTATTTTAATGTAAATTCAAAATATCTAATCATATCAGAGCTAACTAAACTAAAAGCACTGCCCACCTGGCATGGCAGATTACCATTTACAGACAGCAGCTGGTGTCTCAAGAGAAGACAACTATTGAGCCCCCACATCCTCATGGTGCCCAGCCCACTTTGCTCACAAATATTGCCTGCACTTGCATTCCCAGCACAATCACAGAAGATCCTGGTCATAGCTTTGGTGTGTATGCCCATGTTCCTGTGTGTGTGTATGCAGGTGGAGGACAGAGGTGGATGTCAGGTTGTCTTATCACTCTGTACCTTATATTTTGAGACAAGGTCTCTTCCAGCAAGCTCTAGAGATCCTCCTGTTTCCATACTCCCTAGTACTGGGGTTACAGGTATTATGTGCCGCCATACCTGGCTTTCATGTGGGTGCTGGGAATCAAGCTTAGGTCCTCATGTAGGCACTTTACCAATGGAACTATCTCTCCAACACCACAGCCTTTGATTACATATAAATCTGTGCCAGGCACCTTGCTAGATATTTTTAAAATGTATTTAATTTTGGATGTTTAACAGACATACTTTGAGGCCTATACTAATTTGGTCAGAGGCACATAAAGGACAGTTTTTGCTCCTTGCCCTCCTAGGTTGACTAGTTCCAGGGGACTATGAGTATCTCCCAAAATGCCCTGTAATTGTGGTGGGTCACCTGTCCTCTTGATCAAGGAAGCCAAGGAGACCCCACGAGATGGCCATGGATCAGTGTCCAGTCTACAAAGAGGAGGGTCAACACAGAAGAAGCACTTCCTCCATGCTTCCAAGCGAAGCCAACCATGGTCAAGCAGGACCTTTGACTTATCTTCACATAGGCGGAACTGGTCAAAGAAAGGAGCCAGGGGCTCCTCCCAAGCCCATGTGACCCCTGAGGAACAGATCCTCAAATGACCTTAAGAGTAAAAATAAATTGGTTTATCTGGGCCAACTGTAT